TATTAGTTACAACTAAGTGCGTTTAAGCACGCTTGATATTAGACTTGCCAGGCATTACAACCAAGTCAGTTACTCATTGTCGCCTATATATACTTGGCGACTTTTTCATAATTCAAGACAATTAAAACGACTGCTGAACCTAATGCGCATAGGCACCCAGGAAGACACTCACATAAGTCCACATGTGCGTATATATGTATATAAATGTRTATGTATGTAAATATAAAATTACAAATTTATACGAATGTAACACTTGCGGCACATACATATGTGTGACGTTGCATAATTGTGCACATTAAACAGTCAACGACACGGGATGAGCCGCAGAAAGCGCGCCGCAAAGCGACCACGGTGTCGACAAACAGATGGACTGGGGCGCTGACGCAGCTGGCAGCCGGCCAAACTTGGTTTACTGGAATTTTTCTATACATGAGTATTTAATTGAGCGCACACACTATCACTATCACTTTTGTGGAAATTTGGCGACACATCGCAACGAGTTTTGGCGAGTGGCAGCAAGAGTGAAGAAAAAAGTTAAATAAAAATTAAATTTAAAAAATTGAAAAAAGTAAATAACTGAAAACTTGAGGGAAATTAAAGTTATAAATTGAAAGAGTGCAAAAAAGAAATACAAAAATTGCATAATTTAGAAGCATTACACGGTGGGCATGCGCATAATTGTCGCCATCAAACCGGCACCAGCACAGTAATTACAGCTAATAGGTACTCTCTTTGGTTTATTATATAAAAAGTGAAATTTCTGCTGTTTCAGGTGGTTATCAGGAATTTCAAAAGAAAGTGACAAGAACAATAAAACACTTCGTTGAAATTCGGTCGCTTTTGTTGGCAAATCGTTGCTGCGGATTTATTTGCCATACCAGCTTGACCTTGTTTTATATACGCAAATATGTAAATACATATATTTTTGTTTTTGTTCAACACTTCAAGGCATCTGTGGTCACCCACATGTGGACAAGTGAACGCTTGAGAGATCTCGCGCGTGAAATTTCGCTTTGGACATAGTAATAAGATGTACGCAACGTCAAGTAATGTCAAGCAGACAGACGAATATAATATATACAGACGTACTACAAATACGAACATACATATGTATAGTGAAATAAGTGGGAATAATAAAAATTTTACCGACACACACTTGTATATCTGCTTTCTTTTAATCATCTCAGCTAGCGGCTGGCACCCACAATCGACTTTCTGCTTGCCATACCAAATTCAATCCAATTGTAAACATAATCATTGTTGTAATCGTAATGCTTTAACGCTTTGTTTGTTTTTTTTTTTTGGTCAGCTATCGGTTAGTTAAGCATTTGCAACGCCTCGAGGCAGTGAACCACAGAGTTCATGGTATTCAAATGCATGGTTTGATGCAATATGCAAACATATATACATACACATGTATATACATATGTCTTCACATTATGGGCGTTCATATGTAAACTTTTTTATGGCACCTCTAAACTGTTGCATTTACGCATCGTTCATTATGAATTAAACTGCTTTGTCTTGGCTTTGACCGAATTTTAGTATGTTTTATCAGTGGACTGCAAAGAAATTGGATTTACTACTTTGACACGCATTATACGGCAGCACGGTATATTAAGTAATCCTATTATGCTAGTAATTGCACAATATACTAACATATTTGTGAAATATGTTTTGAAGGGCGATACAAATTAATGAACAGAATTTTTAACAGCTGACTGCTTCATACATATACTATATGTGCTTATCTATGTCAAGCTGGTCATAAATCTCACTGCTACTTGAGATTTACATGCATTGAGTTTAATACCTCGAGCCTTTAGACTAATAAAAACAAAAAATGGGAAAAAATTACATAGTGCTGATAAAAAAATATTACAGCGCTTACAAACTTATCCAAAAACGATAGCTCCAGCAAGTTAAGACTTTCGAAATCACAATACATGAAAAGAATTACTCCGGAAACTAACCCGTCATCCCGGCATCTTGTGCCAACATATTTTTCTATATGAACTGAAAATAACGGGAACAGAGTTGTCGTAATATCTATATACTATTGTCGGCAAAAAATAGTAAGACTTTTTGATTGAAATTTCGTCCACCTATTCGTCGAAATATGTTTTTCTAGGTTGGTATGACTGTTAGTGACATTTAAGCCAAGTGTCACCTCAAAATAATCATTAGTGTGTTATACGCTTGCCTTTCTGAAGTACATAGCATAAAGTGAATTTGGCGAGTTTTTCACCAAAGAAGCTCCCTTAAATTTTGTGTGCGGAAACAAATTACTGGTAGTAAAACATTTAGAATGTTGGAAAAGGCCTTCAGTGATAATTGTTTGTCGCGAGCAAGTGGTTTAGATTGGTACAAATCATTCAAAAAGGATCAAAAATGTGTTGACGAAAAATCACATCCAGGACGGCCATCAACATGAACTGATCACCAACACGACAATTAAATAAAGAAATTGTTGCTTAAGAATCTACGATAAAGAGACAGAGATCTTACTGGCATGGTTGTAAGATAGGAAAGACCAGTGGAGACCATTTTGAAAGAACAATTGGAGCAAAAAGAAAAGTGATAGCACGATTAGTTCCAAACACGTTAACGTCTGTGAAACAATGCTTTCCCACTACCAGGGTGTCGTGAAACGTATTATTACTGGCGATAAGTCTTGGATCGATGATCACGACCCAGAAACAGACGATCAATCAGCCGAAAATCGTGAAAAGATGAGCCGAAGTAGATAAAACCACGCCAAAACAGGTCAAAAATAAACGTTATGTTAACAGTTTTCTTCGATAAACGAGGTGTTGTGCACTCCAAATTCCTTTCAACCAGCCGAACTGTCGACAGGGAATACTAACTGAGTGTTACGAGTCGTTTGCGCGAAGCTATTCGTAAAAGAAGGCCAGAATTATGGGCCGAAACTCTTGTTTTTCGCACCACTATAGTGCACCATCCTATAGTGCATTGGTTTTTTGTGAGTTTTTCGCCGAATTTATAACCAATTTAGTACAGCAAACACCGTACTCGCCTGATTTAGCTCCGTACGACTTTTGGATATTCAACAAACACAAACGACCGTTCCGAGGTAACCGTTTTGAGTCAATTGAAGACATTAAACGTGAATCACTATGCGCATTGAAAACTGGCACAAGTGCATCGCGGTCAAGAAGAATCTTTTAGATAAGGATAAAAACTTTTAGTTGTTCCATATGAATTTTGAAAATCCAAAAACGATCCTCATATAAAGAAAAACTTTTCATTAATTCAAGTACGGTCTAGTAGAACCCACAACCCACCCACACGAACTGATCGTGTTATTGAGTCAGTCCGAACTAAATCGATCAACAAACAATACTATCACAAATAGATTCGTTCATCAACATTCTTAAATTAAAGATATATGTATATCATAATCGTATAATAGCGAAATTGGAATTCTTACGTTTTCCCGGATTACAAATTTCAACAACATTTTCAAAAATTGTTGGGGGTAATACTGAATATTGCGAGTAAAACCAATTGGGTTTTCTGATTTCGTATATTATCTATCTCTGACTACTATCGCAGGCAACTGTACAAGAAAACGGGAATCACATAACAAACTTATGACGGCATAATAATAAGAAGTTCATAGCAATAGCAAATGATAATGGGGATAAATTAAAAAGCCATCTAACTTAAACACTGTTGAGAATTTGTAGTTCGTAGTATAGTAGAGAGCTCCGCTTTGGTACTTGTTTATGTAAACACATATGTATATTATATATTATATATGTACAACAAAATTATATCTATAAATGGTTCGCGGTTGGTTATGTCAGAAAGACATTCGGTTATGTTGGCACTGAATACGGAGGAATGACAGCTACTGAAAGAACTAAAGAAGAAAAAGTTCTGAGTCCATAAACGCTCTAATGAGGAAGAGCTTTCAATATTGAAGAAAACTTTTTCTGATTTTTACTGATGCCTGCCAGAGATATGATTTATTTTGACTTTTCCGTCATTTATGGACGTTTATTATATGGCTTTCTCAGTAGCTGGCACCCCTCGGTATTTATTGTCAACATAACCGGGTGCCTTTCTGACATACAAGTAAACCAGAGATACGAGACGTTTCGTCTAATTTTCTGACCTAATTGTCGATCACAAGTCATCTCACTACAAATTTGATTTAGATAACATTATGATTTAATGGAACCTTTTTGTTTTATATACGTACAATATTTATGTGGTGAATTGGAAAAATAATTCTACATTCGAAAAAAATTAAAATACACTTATAAATTATATAATTGTATATTAGGATATCACGTCTGCTATAGTGACATTTGTGTTTCCTGAAGCAAGAAAGTTGGAGAATCGAGTAGTCTCCGTCACCATAATTATTCCCATCAGGTTATTCATTGTATTCAAAATATACATTTATATCGGAAAATGCACAAAATAATAATTGAAGTTAAAACTTTCTGTAGATTTGTTCCATAATCACAGCTGTGTTTCATAATTTGCGATTGTGTCGCAAAGGGTGCAAAGAGCATTGAACCAAGCAGAAACCATGTATGTGTTTGAAACATACTTGTAGAAAGTTTGAAAGAAATTTATTACGAATCTTTACTGATCTTCATGCGTTCGAGTAATTTATTGTTATTATTCTAAAAATTTAATTTTTAGTATTTAAAATCAGTTAAAAAAATATGTATCTCAAATGAAAAAATTCATTGAAGATCTAAAAAAAAAATTGGTTTATTCATATTCTCAATTTTTTTACAAATAGCTACTTCTGTTTTGTTTTGCAAAAATAAACAACAAAAAAAGGAGTTTTACCACAAATGCTAAAACTAACTTATTTTTTTATATATTTTTATAATTNTACTAAAAAAAACTATTAATAATTATTTCATTAATAATTCAAAAATATAATTTTTTTTATTTCACAAAAAATTATTACTAAAATCAAGCTGTTACTTGAAGACAAAATCAATCGCACTCACCATTTTCCCAATTTTTTATTAAATGATCCAATGATAATAAAGTAATCCTTTCAATTTTAAGCGAGCGAAGAAAAATTAGTTTTCCACCAGTTCTACACTTTTTCACTTTTTACACCAATGCACTTGTTTTTGTGTCGATTTTTTTTTTTTTTTTTTTTATCAGTTGCTGCTTGTTTTGGAAGATCCTGCGAGCAGGCGGCTCAACAATCACTGCGCGCACTCAATTTGTATATGTAATTTAACCTTAAAGTAATCCGTTTATCCAGTGTAACTTTTTTCTCATTCTTTTGAGGCAAAGAAAATTTCTTTAGGAAACTTCACTTTTATATTTCGTTAATTTCCTTCGTTTTGTTTTCTGAAATCACAAACCACAATTCACACGAAAACCACTGTGTTGTTGCTACTTTTTGCACCGCAATATGAACTTTCAAAAATATGTTGTCGCGCATACATTTCACCACACGAACACGTTAAACGAAAAACTGAACCGTCACTGCGCGCATGCGCACTCGTACTAAGTAGACGCGTTCGCTTTGCGGCAGGTAGGAGCAATCGCACAAGCTGCTGTGGTGGCAACATGGCGCTGGAGAGATGATGCTACCACAGCAAAAACAATAGCAAACAGCTGTAATTGCGTACTGTTCACAGTGTTATTTACCTGGTATTTCGCTTATGTTGGTGTGTATTTGCTTGTTGCTCTCCAATGAAAAATGAGAAAAGCAAGGCAATGATAACAGGTAAATGTATTCGTCGTCTCGCATAATAATAAATCAATAGTCACGCGATGCATTGACAAAGTGGAAATGATGATGAGAGCAGGAGCTGTGCCAACATGCAATATAAGTGTGTATGTACATATGTGTTTATGGATAATTAAATTTTTTTAGAATGTTCCATTATCCTTACAGGATGAATATTTGTGCACCTTCTTCGGTATTTTTAGAATTTCGTAGCAATTATTTCTCAGCATAAAAAATCTAGTTGAGAATAATAAATTTTCAACAAAAATTTCGAAAATAAAACAATTTCGGTACATATTATTTATGTATTGAGTATCTTGGAAAATGATTTGAAATGCGATTTTCCAATAAGACAATACTAGACGACTTTATATTAATATAAAATAAGAGAATACATATATACATATGTAATACGTGCTATACACCATAGGCACAAATTATTCTTTACAAGAACTGTATTTTGTTAGGTCAGCTTGTGTGACAGCTATATGCTATAATGACTCGATCTGAACAATTTCTTCCACCGTTGTCACTCATGCTAAATTTCGTGAATATATGTCCTTGAAAGAAAAAGGTGGCCATACAAGCACTTGATTAAGATCGTTTAGTTAATGTGGCAGGTATATGCTTGGCCGATATCGACGATTTCGACGACGATTTCGAAGCAGCTGTTTGGGGGGAAAGAACAGGTACAAAATTTCAGAACGACATCTAAAAAACTGACAGACAGACGAACGGGCTTACGCAAAATCGACTCAGCTTGCCACGTTGATCATTCATATATATGCATAAATGGATCTAGAGCTTTTCCATCGCTAAGGCGACAAGAAATGTGTTAATTCAAATAATTTCCTCAAAACTCAATTCAGAATTTCGACTTTTTTTCTGGGAAATACAGAATCCACAATAGAATTAAACAATAATACATAAGATGTAAATATACGATCCACCCGAATTTATTCACCTGAAGCTGGTTAGCTAACTTTTAAAGAGAAGTAATAAATTTTCACATTCGACCAATAATTTTTGTAGCATATTGCCTTGAGGTTCTCTAATTCAGAGAATTGATACAGACCGCTTCGACTGCTTTAATTTACCGTAGAAGCATCCAAAGTTGGGACCTCGTTAGAAATACATATTTGCTTGGTGTTTATACTCTTTCTCCGTGCTTGAATGAGCTTCGACTCCAATTTGTGGCAGCTAAAAATATTCTTAGAGTTTCAGATTTTGTCTTTGTCGATATTTAAAACCAAGACAAAAAATTTGAGGCAAACAACAATCTTATTAATTTATGAATGCATTTCTTTGCATATATACAATTTAAATTCTAAATTTAACTCTAGCACCCGTAAGCTTTTCCACAAACCGTTATTGATTGAGGATGCTAAGTAATAATATAAACGATTATACTTAAAACACTTTCAAAGATAATAGATTAATGCGTTGTCGCGATAGAATAGCATTTTACTTTTTGCCAAATGAGAGAAATAATTATGCACAGGGATTTGTGATTGTTTTGATCTTCTGCAGTTATTCGATGTACATCACACCCTTTGAATGTCAGTAGACGCTGGTCATTACCATTCTAATCGATAGTACTGTCTTTGTCTTTTTCCGAGTAGATTTGCTGGGTGAACGGCACAATTTCGACTATTCCTTAGTCTAATAGTGGATCTATATTTCAAAACAAAAATCCACTCCTCTTTTTAAATCTTGTGAATACGTCAGATTCCAATTTCGCTGAAAACAAAACTATGAATCCAATTAGATAGAAATTATCCGGCAACCATGTACTGTACGTAGATGTGGAAACATTGGACAATAAGTGTGAGTTTTTGTAAAAATTATATGTATATTATATATTTCCAGAATTCGTGTGCAAAAAGGGATTTTAGGAGTTCGAATTAAATTCGAACGTTATTCGTACGAACCGTTCATTCAAACTTGAAATTTTTGGCACAGTTTTACATGAAATTTGGACGAACCTGCACCGTCATGGTATCTTTGTGTAGAGTATCCTGACTATGTACTTTTAAAAGTTCAATACTAAATAATTGATTTTATATGGAGGAGAATGTTCATCATATAGTTATTCGATGGAGTAATGACGTATAATAATTTTTGCGCGTAATATGATACGATATATCTACCTCTATAGTTATGTTAAAATAAAAATATACAGATCTAACTATTTTTATCTCACTCATTTCTTTTTAACATGATACAAAATTTGAACAGAAAAGCCAACCTTGAAATTTGTAAAGACGGTATCCCTAATAACGAACTAGAAAAACTGGGCTAAGTATCCCTGAAAATACTGGATTACTGAAACCAGGAGTTAAAGGTAATACTATATTAAGGGTGGTCCAAGTAGAAGTACTCTACTCTCTCATGGACTCTTGAAGAAATCCGAGAGGATCCGATGTTTTCGAGTCAAATTTTGTTCAGTGATGAGGCCTGTTTCTGGCTCAATGGATATGTAAACAAGCAAAATTGGCGCATTTGGCACGAAGAACAACCTGAAGACATTCGAAAGCTGCCATTTTTTTTCAAAAAACACTACAGTTTGGTATAGTTTGTGGGCTGGTGGAATCATCGGTTCATATTTCTTCAAAAATAATACCATTATAACCTACTACTTTATACCTGAAATTGTAGCTTATGATCTCGGCGACGGAAGGACCATCTGTTACGTAGCCGTGGCCAATATTTGAAAAATGTAATCTTCAAAAAATAAATGCCAAAAAATGTACATTCGAATGATACATTTGAAGTTTCTGCGTTTTTTTTTTTAAGTATGGAACTCCGAAATAGATCACCATTTATATAAAGTTTTGTATTATCGCCTCCTTAAAAAACAATTCCTTTTAACCGAAGTGTTGTACAAATGTTATGACAATATCAACTCCAGGATCAACCAAGGATCAACCATTTTAGCAACAACCGTAAAATTATTACCACAAATACTAGCTAGAGCGAAGACTATCTAAATTTGATAGTTTCACAGAAGTTATCAAACGATTTAACTTTAACAATTCAAAACAAGGGTAAGCCGTATTTTGCACTTAAGAGAATAATTGGGTCAAATGCAATGTGCAAAATATTTACTATTTACATATATATTTATACCCTGAACAGAGTATTTTAAGTTTGTCACGAAGTTTGTAATACCCAGAAGTAGGGGTCGGAGACCCTATAAAGTATATATATTATATAAATGATCAGTATGTCGAGCTGAGTCGATTTAGCCATGTCCGTCTGTCCGTCTGTATATATACGAACTAGTACCTCAGTTTTTAAGGTATCCTTTTGACATTGTGCAAACGTCATTTTCTCTTCAAGAAGCTGCTCATTTGTCGGAACTGCCGATATCGMACCACTATAACATATAGCTGCTATACAAACTGAATGATCGGAATCAAGTTCTTGTATAGAAAACATATTTGACAAGATATATTCACGAAATTTGGTATASATTATTTTTTAAGGCAACAATGTTATCTCCGAAGAAATTGTTCAGATCGGATTACTATAGCATATAGCTGCCATACAAACTGAAAACATAGTTACTAACAGAAATGCACATGTGAAGGGTATTTAGCTTCGGAGCAGCCGAAATTAACGTTTTTTTCTTGTTTTTCTTACGGCAGAGTATAAACAACAAATTGCAAATCTTCAAAAAAGCGGAAAATAAATCAAAAATACATTTCAATATGCGCTAAATTGAGTTCATCCACAAAACCTTACTTCGCTCACAAATTCAATTGCATGCCTTAAAAAAACAAATTAGTGAAAGTTGCAATTACTTAAACAATTGCATAAAAAAAAACCCGAAAATTCACTTTGACAAAGTGCAAATTTGTGCGTGTTTGTGCGCCTGCGCTGAGCTCAGGCGAGGCGAATACTACTGTCATTAAAATTTTAACAGTTAACTTTGATGAATTTATCAAAGTACAACGAATTCTATTTAAAAATTCAAACACACACGGCGACACATAAGCATACATAACACATACACAGCATATACATAGAAAATACATAGTAAATATATAGAAAATGCATGCATATTTTGTGGCGCGTGCATTACGGCCGTAAACGCCAGCAACTTGGTCGACTCATAACGTGGCACGGAACTGCAACGCAGTCAAGACACGTCCATAATTGTTGCCGAGTATTACGTGTCGCTGCCATGGGCCACCGCTCAATCTGCCTTGGATATATGGACAATTGACCCGCTGACAGCGCGGCAGATCGGCAACGAAGTCATTCGTCGTAAATACTATTGTAAATAAAAACTAAAGTTGCTAAATTATGGTGTGTATGTAAGTATGTAAATGTGTGTGTGTGTGTGTGTGTGCCTCGATCGCCTATTCCACCTCATTACGGGTTAGTGGTCACAAGACGGCTGCGAAATGAAAACGAAACTGTCAAATTGTACAATCGGCCTGTTTGTTGCAGCCACTGTGCGTTGTGGTTGTTGTTGTTGTTATTACCATTTATGCTGCAACAATTGCGCGCGGTTACGCAGTGTTAAGCGCTTTTTATTTACCTTACGTGAGAGCAATTTCAAATGGACGCTTCAACCGCCCAGCAGGTGAATCCGCATAAATACTGAACTCACACACACACACACGCACATAAATACGCCAAATAAAAATTTATAGAAGAGCAGTCAGTCGCGCATAAATACGTAGTGTATAAATAAATAAAATAACTGAAAATAAAGCATTCGTAATGTGTTTGCAAGTAAAGTAATCATTATCCGCGTATACACACACATGCACACAAACAAACAGTGGGTATAAATATTCGACAGTCGCAAGTCGAAAAATGTTGAACAATTATGAGTCTTGACTGGTTAGCGCACTGTCGGCCCACCTGACTGCTCATCTGCCCCACCACGACTTGACTTAAGCGCGGTATTCTACGCACGCCTCCTGTCCCACATTATAATTCCTACTTCGTCTTGTTACCGCCGAATTTTACCTATGAACCGCTCTTGCATAACGTCGAAACTCGCGGAATTCGGAAATTTGCCGTTAATTGTTTTTGGGCAGATCTCGATCTTAATGTGAGCAATTTGCATGTAATTGTTACGCGTTTGACCGTTACACATTTGTCAGCCATTATTTTTGCGGAAGTCTGAAACAAAAGACACACTCTTTCTTCATGTTATACGTCACAGCTAAAAGCGACGGTATGCCTCAGACCTTAGTTGATACCCTAGCAGTATAGTAGTTGTGAAAGGACGTCTGGATATCACCGGTTGAGTTTGTAGCCAAATAGTTGTAATTGCAGTTGTATAAAGTTGTAGACAATTACAATTAAATAAATTCAAGAATTTTTAAACCAATTGGCGTTTGATTTTCTTTCGGTTTTAATCTTCAGGGGACTTTTATTAAATTTGGGTCTCAAATTATAATTTGAACATGTCTAGCTACAAAATGTTCCCATTTTTCTGGCAGTTTGTGGATTTCAACGCTAATAAAAACTGAACCTGTTTGGCGGCCAAGAACGAATCAGACCTATTTTTGATACACTGTTCTGGTGTGAAACGTATCCGCCTGCGTAGATGCAGCGCTGCCAGTGCGATTTCCAACCATTGAAGGTGAATCGGAAGGCATTCTACAAAAGAGCCTTGAGATCATACTTAAAGATTCATGATTCGTCACCTGTGGTGGTGGTTACTCAAAAATGGGGAGTCACTTTCACACATGTTTTTGACACCCTTCCACTTACCGCAATTTCTGGTCATAAGTTCACATGTTCAAGTGCTCCGTCACAAGGTCATGATCTACAGATTTTGATAAGATTAACATCTTGGCAATTACGCGAATACTTATTCGACGGTCTGAGTTTAAAACTTTGCGTCATATTGTCGGTATTTGTGGAAGCCGACGGTCTCCCAGTACGTTCTTCATGAGCGACCTCTTCCCGGTGCTCCAAAAAGGATTGATGCCACTTCTTGCTAAAGCAACATTTGGGCAAGCCTACTTGATCAAACGCCTCTGTCGCAGATTTGCCGGGTTTCACCCAAAATTTATTCGCGTACCTCTGCTCTAAGGAACGCTACATTTTCGGCTAGTACCACTCACAGAAACACATCGCTCCAATAATGTTTGTCCTGACTCTCCGTCTATCGAATCCAGTTGGCTTGCACACGCTCCGAAGTACAGTCGCGGCGACAGAAAATTAGTCCTATTACTTTCCAAATGTTTTTTAAGCATTCTTGAAACATGAGGGCGAGCATTAACATGATGGGAAATTATATCCTCGTGTCTAGTCACAAATTTCATTCGTTTTTCCTTAATTACTTGCATCAATTTGATGAGTTGTTGTTGGTAGTGTTCTGCAAGACGTTCTTCGGCCTTCAAGCCAACATCACTACTTAGAGCAAGCTCACCATAATACGATGACTTTCCGTTAAGGTTTCTTCTCACTGATAAGCATTTTTTTCTAAACAATTTAAGGCCGAAATTTTGGTCAAAAATCGATTTTTTTTTAAATCCACCAATTCTGTCAAATATTTATTTTGCTTATTACTTCGATTAATTACTACACCTGTTGGTTTTTTAATTTCAGACGATCCAGTTCAGAGATATAGTGATCACCGCAAAACATATGTTTTTGAGAGAAGCTCCTGAGATCAGTTAGGAACTACAATATTTAAATATTTTTACTAATACAAAGTCTTAAAATACAATTAGAAAAAAACATAATAAATAAATGTACACATTTTTGGTTCTATGAAATAAATATCTAAAAGTTTTTTCAGAAAAAAATTCATTTCTTTTCGGCCTTTTAAATGCATTAAGCGTAGGCGAGCTGAGCTGAATGTGTGAGAAGGATCGGAGAAGAAACCGATAGACCAATTCTCAGCTCTCAACGGTGCAAATGCATCTTTTTCTATATAACAAAAGTATAGTAATATATCAAAATCTGTTGGATAAAGTAAAATCTTAAAAAACTAGAAAAAAGGCATGCAGAAGCCACGTTTTAAGTGGACCTTTTTTAATTAAAAAATCGAAAATCTCACATATTGATCTGTTATATAAATTGTTTCATGACACTGGATATTTCGGAAACTTCTAACTATTGATGGATCTTAAGTACAAGTATAACAAACAATAACTGTGAAGACCACTCCAGCCCCGCCATGTCTCAAATGCGAGTTTAACTCACATGTTTGGGAGTTGTAGGCAGTCAAAAGAATTCCATTCTAATTCTTTGAATGAATGAATTCTTAAGAGAGATTGTGTGGGTCATAAAAAGGGCAAAAAGCTTATTAACAAATAATTAAGAATATATGCACACATACTCGTATGAATCTACCAGATTCTATTGTGCTTTCCTGATAATTTCTAAAATGGATATAAAATGTACTTATTGTAAAATTTTTTTATGGTTATGATTACTTCGAAATGTTTACATTACAAATATAACAAAACTGGACTACTCAAACAATGCATTCAAAACATGTGACGGAGAAACAAAGTGTGTAAATTTGCTAATACAAAGTTATTAAATATTAATATTTATCTTTACTTACTACTAGATAAGGCTGATTTTTTATTAATAAAGTTGGTTACAACAACAGTGAGCTATGATGTCACTAGTGCTTAGTCTAATATGAGGTTAATAATATATTAGTACTGGTGAATGTACAAATATATATGAAATTATACAAGATCGGAGCTATTTAAAGCTTATGTATGAATAGTGGTGATATCAGATAATAAGAGAAGAAAATTATTTTATTTATTTATTTATTTATAAAAACGTGAAACAATAATACAATTACTTTTCCACGAAAAAAGGAGCACTGGCTGCCAGGACCTTCGGCTCGCTGATGTAAATATAAAATGTATAGTTATTGCTTAATTAAGTCTTAGGTGTAAAGTTAATAAAATGTTCTGTAGCTAATAGAAAAGTTTTAAGAACANTATTAGTAAAATCTTGTTTAACAAGGTTTAGGTCATTTAGTTTAGAGACCAATAATAAATCATCAGCATAGCATATATAAAACATATTTTTATACTTAGAAGTATTAGAAGAAGAAAATTAGATTTAAAAAATATAAAAGGAAGTAAGATGTAACGAAATGAATTCTAACCTTTTCCGAAGCGAATGGTAACAGGAGACGAAGAGTGAATCAAATACGAGAATAATCTGCGAAAACGATCATGGTCCAAGTAAGGAATCATCCACTATGAGATTCTCCAGCCCAATCGAACGCTTCATTCTACATTTTACTGTCAACAACTGATAAGATTGAAGCAAGCAATCGATAAAAACCGGTCAGGACTGATCAACAAAAAGGGCTTCGTCTTCCAACAGGACAACGCTAGACTACAACATCTTTGATGACTCCGGGGAGACTGGGAGAGCTTAACTGGGAAGTTTTGGTGTACTAACCATGTAGCCCTGACCTTGCACCATAGAACTACCATTTGTTTCGGTCAATGCAGAACTCCTTTAATGGAGTAAAGGTGGCTTCAAGACAAGCCTATGAAAATTACTTGTCGCAGTTTTTCGCAGAGAAACCAGAAAACTTTTACACTGATGAAATATTGTCTCTAACGGAAAGATGGCAAAAGTGATCGACCAAATTGGTACATATTTGGTTCATTAAAATTCATTATAAATATAAAAAAATAACTTGTAGTTTGATTAGAAATACGAAAAACCTTTTTCGACTACCCAATACATAGAATATAATTCGATAAGTCCGAAAAGTTCTCAAGTTTACCTGCTTTCGAATGTTACCTAATCTCATAAGGCTTTTTATATACTTTTCATATTAATTAAAAGCTGAAAGTATGTTGACCACTTTTACTTAAGCTTTCTTCTTCAAGGCGAGTAGTAATATTGCACAACAATAATGTAAAATAGCTGTCCTCCATTCGCCAAACCTTGAAGAGTAGCGAATCGATCATATAAAGCTGTAACACCTAGTGAGTATACCATTTTAATGAAATAATTGCTTACGCTCTTTAATCGAATTCATCTACTCGATTTTGTTGTTGCTTTCACTGTTTGCTTTTAGAAGTTTTTCAGAAGAGCGTAAACTGAAACTAAAACGAGCATTCGATTTGCTCAATTTAGATATGTTGGTGCATTCAGCATGCGTGTTTTGAAGATACCTCAATCAGAGTAGAAAAATTGATTCGACTATTGGTTCAAAGACATGCAAAAGTATATTTTATATTTGTTTTCGTTCACTGATCCCGAAAAGCACATAAAAGACCACAGTACTAAGTCGGTCATTATCATGGTAGTACCGAAATTACAGCTGACCAAATTTGAAAAATGTTAGATATGAACAGAACTAATTTTGTCAAGTCATTAAATTACATCTTGTGATGAGATGTCATCACCAGCCCCTGAAGTAGCATTTCCGCATTCGTCATGCTTCCTATTGATACTCTTATCTAACCAATACATAAAATATAAAGAATTTAATAAAATAAATAAAAAAAAACGAAGATATAAAAATTATATAATTAATTAATAATTTTTTTTTTTTTTGTATTAGTTGGCTTCAAAATATAATTATAATTTCGCAAACATCTATATCAATATTTCCGGCAAATGCCAATTTCAATTAATAACTTATTTACTCTATACATTATTACACTTGCATTACGTGGACTAATTTATCACTGAATTTCAACCAGTTTATGCCAAACATAGGTTTTAATTATGATTTATTGATATGAGTGAATGGTTTTATGAATTAGGAAAAGATTAGATTCAAGTGCACGACGACAAATTATTTTATTTTTTATTCTTAAACTTTCAGAACGCAAATACTAAATGAATTATCAAGTCGTCAAAGCAATAAGCATACAAATGAGCAGATAAACATTTTATCTGCAAAAACAAAAAATCACCCGGGTTACTAAGTATCTTTTTATAATTTCAATTCTTGGAAATTCTCTTATCAAGGGCCGTTTCCACCAAAGATAAGCTCTATTCATGGTAATGCTTCGAGAAGAAAAAATTAACTCCTGTTCATTTCGTGCTGATATTAGTTAATTTATAGCTTTATAGTTAATTTCGCATTTAAAAACAAGTTATGCTACTGTAAATATGTATGTATATAAAAAAAATTAATTTATTCAAATGCTTTTATTACACGTGACTGGTTTCATGAAACACAAAACTTTCGTTTCTTAAGGTACAAGCCCGGTGTAATATAATAGTAATTTAAAACAATTTAAGAAAATGAAAAAGGTTGAATACTGAAGAGCGTTTCTCTTTGAGAACCTTTTTAGTTGTGGAGACGTCTGCATTGCAATCGAAATTGTTATCACAAAAATTTGTGTTATAGTTAAATTGCTGACCTGTGGGGCAACTTTGTAAGTAATAGATAATTTCGCCATTAACTTCGGCGCATAAAGCGAATTTCTCACAAGAGCCACTCTGTGGATAGAAGCCGACATCGGGGCAATCAAATGCCGGTAGTGTAGTAGATTCCGGTTCGTCCGTGCTTGTTGGTACATCAGTGGTTACAGGGGCATCAGTTGTTGCAGGTTCATCGGTGGTTACGGTTACGTCAGTGGTTTCTGGAGCATCGGTTGTTAAAGGAGGATTTGTTGTTGATGGTTCTTCAGTAGTTAGAGGAGCGTCTGTTGTTTCTGGTTCTTCAGTAGTTACAGAGGCCTCAGTTGTTGTCGGCTCTTCAGTAGTTACAGGAGCATCTGTTGTTTCCGGTTCTTCAGTAATTACAGGAACATCTGTTGTTTCCGGCTCTGCAGTAGTTACAGGAGCATCAGTTGTTGACGGCTCTTCAGTAATTACAGGAGCCTCAGTTGTTGTCGGCTCTTCAGTAGTAAAAGGAGCATCTGTTGTTGTCGGCTCTTCAGTAGTTACAGGAACATCTGTTGTTTCCGGTTCTTCAGTAGTTACAGAGGCATCTGTTGTTTCCGGTTCTGCAGTAGTTACAGGAGCATTAGTTGTTGACGGCTCTTCAGTAGTAACAGGAGCATCAGTTGTTGACGGCTCTTCAGTAGTTACAATAGCCTCTGTTGTTTCCGGTTCTTCAGTAGTTACAGAGGCACCTGTTGTTTCCGGTTCTTCAGTAGTTACAGTATCATCAGTCGTTGCGGGTGCCTCAGTAGTTTCGGTCTCATCTGTTGGAGCTATAGTTGTATCATCATCTTCATCTGCGGTTGTCTGATTGTCAATACTACCAGTAGGAGCAGTAGTGGGTATGGTTGGTTTGATGAGGTCTCCGTGTGTTGTAGTAGTTGTGGGTACTGTCGGACTTTGTACATCCTCATCGCCATCAGAACTGTCAGCCGTTTTACTAAAATACGCAACTTTTGGCACACAAACTCCATCGTAACGGTCAAAAACGTATCCACTTTCACAATTGAAGTATTTGATATCGAATGTGCCGTATTCGTTAAGATCACATGCATAAAATTCTGGCGAGTTATCGACGAATGCAAATAATCCTACGCGTTTACAAGGATTCAATAAAACTCCAGCATCGGCCACGGCTATTGCCAAAAATAATCCAAGAAAAAATAATTTCATTGCGCTTAAGACAATTTTTCCTCACTCGTTGTTTTCGTTCACTTCTTTAAACTGCAAATAACTGTTGAGCACCTTTGATGTATTCTTTTATAGAAAATTTAATTATTTGGTTGAAATATTACTTCATTCAAATATCTTTTAATTAACTGATAAAAAAAAAATCCGTATAGATAAATAGTAAGTGGTTTTAACGCACCTATCTCAATACAAAAACAAAAAAGTATTAATTTGAAAGAATTATCAATGTGGATTTTTGTTTGCTTTACTTTGGCCCATAATATTTAGATAATTGAATTTTTCTAAAAAACTTATTCTTCTTTAATGGCGTAGACACCGCTCACGCAGTTATAGTCGAGTTATTAAGAGCAGAGACTCAATTKATGCGCTAGCGCCAACAATATTCTTGACATTACTTACTTTTATGTCTCACTTTCACGGGAACATTTTGCACTGTGCCTGTGGATTCAAATTTTTCCACTAGACGCTCAATTTTTGATCTGGTACGATGATTATGACGACCATAAATTGGACGTAGTAGTAGAGTTGAGGCCACTGACTCCGAATGGCGGTAGTAAATTTTAATAATTTCGACTTGTTGAATCGTATATCTGACGACAAGAAAACGATATTGTTACTTTAGATGGACTTTAATGAAAACAAAAATATCGAGAAAACGCCTGACGTCAACAAAAGGCTTCATTCGGCTACTACAACATACGTAAGGGTCGGATAAACAGAAAATTCAGTTGCAAGTTTCCATCAATAACATAGCATATTACAGGTATTGCAGATCTGTGTAGCAATTATTGAAGCGATAACAGTATTTTCTATAATTTCAACATTTTCACCCAATAAACGTTACCTACACTTTCGAATTCGAAAACTTTATTTCTTCTACTCACAATAGAATATGATTTGATGAATCATAATCAATACAAAACTGAATTACGAATGATCGATAATGCGTTGTTTTGCATTTTAGGTGGTGCTATCGAGGGTAATACGTAATTATATCAAATATCAATACAATCAAAGAAAAAAACCTATTCAACGGTGTACATAACTTCGTTAAAACTTGACGAATGCTAACGCACGAGTGAACGAAAGCATTAAGAGATTAGATTAATTATTTTTTTAATTAATTTTAGCGCAATTAAAAGACAAATATCCAAAGAAAAATATCAGAAAGATAATAGTAGGCTTTCACTCTTCTTCAGTTCAATTTTGCTTTTTGCGCAACCAGTAGTTTTTATATTTGTCATTTTATCACTCAAACGCAAAAGTAAATATTTGAGCTTTCAACGGAAGTGTGCAAATTTGCGTACGCTACTATAATTAGAGCAATCACAATAAAGGCGGCAATAAAACAATGTCTCCATAAAAAATAAAAAAAAATAAAAAAATCGTTCTACATACTAGAGCTTGTTTGTGATCTAGCTTGTAAGAATTTAGCAATTCACTTTCATGCGGGAATAACCAATCCTAAGTGGTAAGCAAATTACGTGATAAAATTGTAGTCTCAACTACAAGTACTATTACTTTTGTACTTGAAACTTTTGTGTGGGGCAATGACTCACTGCCCGCCGATCTGATAAAATATTCAACACTTGAGTTCGATACGCATTATGCTATCCATCAATTGTCAAAATCAAAGTCAATATGTTAGTAATAAATTAGTTAGAAATAATTCGTTTAGTATTATATTTTATAAAAAAAACCTTAAATTAATGCAAATTTTCTTTATTTTACAATTATAGCATAAGCATTACTTATACAGAATTACGAGTGCACGAAGTGTGGTCTCTCGCACTAGACTCATTTAGACGATTCGTGATCGTAGTATTTGGATCCTTTCGGCCGTAAGAAACAAGTCAATCGGCGCTCACGACCGCATGAACCAGACTCTAGACGGAAGACTTTGCCGCTCGGACAAGCGCTGGGCAGTTGAAGGAAATTGCTATGTTTCTTACTCCACTCGCAGGTGTAGTATTTGGTACAATCATTCTTATGGGCGAAGGTACCCTCCAATAAGCAGGTGAACGGTTTGTGGTGCTCAATAGGAGCTACTTCACTGCTGCTTTCATCACTGTTTTCACAATCGCTTTCTGGATCACAAAAGAGTGTGCTCCTATTGAATTTTTGTCCGCGGGGACACTTCATATCATAATGCTTCATTTTACCGAAATATTTGGCACAGTAGGCAAACTTTTTACAACCGTCTTCACTTGGGAAGAAGCCTTCATAGGGGCATTTTAAGTGTTCTGGTGGAGGTGTTCTAGGTGTTGTGGGCGCTTTCGTAGTAGCCGTGCTTGTATGTTTAGGCGGATGTTTTACTGTGGTACTAGGTGAGTTGGTTGTAACTGACGCTGGTGTGGTAGACGACACATCGGGTGAGCTGGGTTTATCACTGCCTGGTGGTGGTACTTCACTGGTGTGTGGTTCTTTTGTTGTAGATGGCCCTTGAGTAGTAGTAACTTGCGATACTTCTGTCGTGCTGGCTTCAGTACTTGGTGATCCCTCTGTTATCTCTGGTTCCTTCGTAGTAGTTGGTGCAGCAGTGCTGCTAGGCAAGCTTGTGGTTTCAGGCTGCTCTGGAATTTCTGGTGCTTTTGTAATTTCACTTTCATTTGTGGTATCAACCGTTGCTCCGGTGGTGTATTCAGGCTCTTCAGTAGTACTTGGTGTATCCGGAACTTCAGTTGATTCTGTAGTTACAGTTGTCTCATTTTCCTCGGGTGCTTCTGTGCTACCTGATCCTTCTGTTGTGGTATTATCTTCAGGTTCTTCAGTAGTACTTGGTTTCTCTGGAACATCAGTAGATTCTGTAGTTACAGTTGTCCCATTTTCCTCGGGAGCTTCGGTTGTGGTACTATCTTCAGGTTCTTCAGTAGTACTTGGTTCCTCAGGAATATCAGTAGATTCTGTAGCCACAGTTGTCTCA